ATTATGATTAAAATCACAAATATGGGTGGGAGGGATACTGGAATCCGTGGTGGTGGGAAATGGGCACTGGTGGGGGGTATGGATATTTGATCATTGTATAATTGAAACCCAAGCACAAAAATTTGTAAGTCTACAACTGTACCTAATGGTGTCTCACTAATAAAAATTTAAAAAATAAAATAAAATCACAAATATGTTGAGTCTTATCAAATGCTTTCTCAGTTGAGAGCATAATGTGAGTTTTATCATTTTCTTTGGATGTGAAAGGTTGTAGTAATTGTTTTGTGGTATGGTACAGTAATTGTTTGGTTTCAGTAAAGATTTTGGACAAGTAAGTTTCAACCCAGGAGTGCAAAGATTGTTCAACATCTTTACTGTACTCCAGCAGTTCCTGTTGTCCTGTCCCGGCTTTCCTAATGTCCGGCCATAGCTATGTTTGCATGGGGGAGATTCGTGTGCTCAGCACCTTGCCACTACCTGAGCAGCCGAGCTCTGCATGAATGTGAGATTTCCTGGTCTTCTGAGAGCTGCCAGAACCTGAGTTTTCCTGGGTATCTGGGTCCTGTCAGTATCTGAGCTTTGTGGGTATATAAGCCCTGCATATATTCTGCGCATGTCTGGAATGTACTGACCTGCCTGTACTGGGCCGTGTGCCTGAGTGCACAACACTACCTGACCCTGGAGGTCTGGGAAGAGAGGATAGAGTCAAGATAGAGAGAGGGAGAATGAAAGGAGAGAGAGAGAAACTGCACGCGCGCGCGAGAGAGGAGAGAAACTAGAAAAACTAGAGATGGGGCTAGGGGCTTCCTTTTATCTGCTGCCATATCCCACCCCCACACCATCCCATTATCTATTCTGATTGGCTACCTGTTTCATGGACGAGATTAAAGTGACCTGATGCTCCACCCTTATAGTCACATGGATTAGAGGAATCAATATTACTAAAATGAATATCCTACTTTTATACAGATTCAATTAAGTCCCCATCCAAATTCAGATGACATTTTTCAAGGATCCAGAAAATTGAATAATAAAGTTTGTATGGAATCAGAAAAGATCATGAATAGCCAAATCCATACTGAAAAACAAGAAATAGAGAGTTGTTTCTTTTAAATTTGGGACTGTATTATAAATCTATAGTAATCAAAACTGCATGGTACTGGAATAAAGACAAACTCTCTGATCAACTCACAGAATTGAATACCCTAAGACAAAACCCAATATATATAGGCGGTTAATTTTCAATAAGGGATCTGAGAACATGTAATGGAGTAAAGATAGCCTCTTCAACAAGTGGAATTCAGAAAACTGGATAGCTGGATAACTGGGTGTGGGAAATTAAAGCAGGATCCATATCTTACAACTCACACAAATGTCATTTTAAAGTGGTTCTCAAAGACATTGAGATCTGACCAGAAACTACAAAGTACATTGAGGAAAATATAGGCAGGGCAATTTGGACGTCAAATGTGTCTTCAGTAATCTGATACCCCTGACAAAGTCAACACAATCAAATGTGAACAAATGAGACTACATACATTAAAACCTTCGGCATGGCAAAAGACTTATGGGCTAAAACTAAAAGCTAACTGAATGGGAAAATATTTGCATTCAACACATCAGATAAAGGTTTCATATCCATGATATATAAAGTACTCACAAAGATCAATAAAAAGTTTCAAAAAATCTATAAAATGGGCACGTGAAATGAATAGATACTCCTCAGAGGAAGATAGAAAGATGGCCAGTAGGCACATAAAAATACTCAGTATAGTTTATTATCAAAGAAATCCAAATCAAGACAACAATGAGATACCATCACACACCAAAGAAAATTGCACATATCAAAAATAGGAACAATCTGTGTTTGTGCGGATGTTGTGAGAAAGACACTCTAATTCACTACTGGTGGAAATTTTGTCTGGTATAACCATGTGAAAAACAGTATGGAGAGTTCTCAGAATTCTTTGGATTCTAAGAATTCTAATTCAGAATTATAATTCTTAGAATTATAATACTTAGAATTCAGAGTTCTTAGAATTGAACTGCCGTGTGACCCATCAATACCACATTACCTCCAGGGCATTAAAACACTCTCTCAAAAGGACATATGCACACCATTATTATTCATTGCTGCACTAAGTACAAAAGCTAAGTTATGGAGTCAACCTAGGTGTCCAATGACATATGAATGAATTATGAAGATGTGGTATATATACACAACAGAATATGATGAAGCTTCAAGGAATGATCAAATCCTGAAACTTTCTGCATCCTGGTTGGAACTTGAAGATATGTTGAGTGAAATAAGCCAGAAGAAGAAAGCCAAACACAGGATGGTCTCACTCATCTGTGGTACATAGACTACTGGTATTGTAGTAAAGTAGGCATGCCTAGATCACTCTTGACCTCAGTGTTTAGAGAGGAGAAGGGAAGAGAAGGAAAGCAATCAAGGGCTAGTGAACTAATGGGTTAACAAGCATCAGGGCTTCAGTCATACTGGTGATATGGGTGAGTGATATAGCCCATATATTCAAATGACAGACTCAAGAAAATGGAATATATGAGCTCTAACTGTAACCACTATAACTTTGCAGTGTGCCTGTAAAGTTGACAGGTGGTGATGGGGTGGGATTTGGTGTGGGGAGGGAAAATAATAACACTGGTGGAGGGAAGTTGACACTGGTTGTGGGAATAGTTTTGAAATATCATATGCATAAAATTAAACTCTCAATAACCTTGTGAATCACAGTTCTTTAATAAAAAAGGAAAACAGCTCTTAGAAATAAAATACAGAAAAAATAATTAAAAAGTTAGAAAAAACCTTAGATGCACTGGTGAGGATGGGAAGAAAAGGAATTCTCATATACAGTTTGTGGAAAACTAATGAGTGTTGTCTTAAAGGTTAACAGTATGGACATTTCCTTTAAGAAGTAAATAAAAATTCCATTTACTATAGCAATACCTGGGCTGGAGCGATAGCACAGCAGGTAGGGCGTTTGCCTTGCAAGCGGCCAACATGGCCGACCAGAGTTCGATTCCTTCGTCCCTCTCAAAGAGCTTGGCAAGCTACTGAGAGTATCTCGCCCGCACGGAAAAGCCTGGCAAGCTACCCGTGAAGTATTCTATATGCCAAACACAGTAACAACGAGTCTCACGATGGAGATGTTACTGGGCCCGCTCGAGCAAATTGATGAACAATGGGAGGACAATGCTACTCAATGCAATGCATAGCAATACCACTCTTAGCATTTATATGAAAGATATGAGAATACAATTTAAAAGATGTTTTTGCACCTTGATGTCTTTAGTAGCATTATTCACAACATCCCAAGCATGAAATAAACCAAAATTCCCAGTAGCCAATCACTGGATAAGGAAACTGTGGTATATATGTTCAAAAAGGTGTTTATTTTGCGGGACAAAATGGATTCGAAAGTAAGTTTAGTGAAATAAGTAAGGAAATGAATGACAATCACTCACATGTGGACTATGAGTGATTAAAGTAAACAAATCTTCAATCCCTAGGCAAAAATTAACTGGAAAACTGACTCCTAGACTCAATGCTATCTATGGTCATTACCAGAGGAAAGTGGATTGGGCTTGTGGAAAGAAGAGTGAAGTAGACTTGGAGGTAAGATGACAGTAAAATTTGCTGGTGAGTGTACTGAGCACTAAAAAGAAACAGAGGTATAGAATACCCTCTTATATTTTATCATAATGAATTAGTGTAAATCAAAACAGCAAATAGACAAGATCAACTATGTCCAAATATGTTACCTAGAAAATATAGAAAAAATTTTATAAGCCTCTACCCGGGATAATCAAAGATGTTAAAAATGATACAAATTGCTGAAATAGCAAATTCATTTCAGTCATCATTTCTCAATATATGCAATTCAAACCATTGTGCTATACACTTTGTTCTTATCTTACAGTGATGCTGTCAATTATATCTCGACAAGACATGGGAAAATGAAATAAACAAGAGGACACTGACTAAACCCCTTGGGGTCTAAACAGTTGATTGTTAAACAACAAAAATTCATGCTCAAAATCTTTGTCATCTAGAACAGTGTTTTCCAAAGCCAGTAACTTTGGGAAACACTGTCTACTTGGGTCACTAGCCCTTGGCAGCGCTGAAACGATACAGAGTGTTTGTACTAGCCTGCAGTACAATTGAGGGTGTCTCTTTCTCTTTGTTCTCTTTAAGAAGGTGTATTTATAGGGGTGAAGAAGCTGAGTAATATTTTTTCTTGAAAAGTGGCCTGTAGGTCAAATAATTTTTGCAACATTTAAAAGAAAATGCTGACCACATCTTTGAAAGATTCAATCTTTAGAATTCTTTTTTTTGAATAGCAAATAGTTTATTAGTACATGGTTTCATGGCAGTATTAAATTCACTTGAGCAGGAAATAATAATCATATAAAATGCTTGATAATCATCAAAAAATTGATGGTTGTTCAGGCTGTCACATAGAATTCTCATGGAAATCAATAGATAATAGGTATGTTTTCTAGCTGATAAATGAATTCTCTGTCCAAGCAGTGAACACCCAACACAGAGGCATTTTCTTTTTTTCAATTTTTACATATTTTATTTTCATAAAAGTAGTTCACAAGAGTTCATTATAGATAATAGTCAAACACCAATCCCACCACAGAGCATCTTCCCACCACAACAAGAGGCAAGTGTGTGATGATTGTTGTATTTCATTCTAGAGCCATTTAAGCCCATATATAAGAGAATACAAGCAAGTATGTTAAAACCAAACAAATGTATGGTACTTTTGGTATGTAAGTGGGCTAGAGTATAAGCATTCTCAGCCACGTGCTCCAGGACATTCTGTGATTACATGGTGCTGGGGGAAGTTTGTGGGTGTGACTGCCAAACTACTGGAAAACTGGGGAGCTGGGGGAGGAGACCCAGTCCCAATACAAGCGGGCTTGAAGAACAGAAACATTTTTTGGTTTATTCTACAAAGCTTTTTTTTATTTCTGTGGGGAGAGCATGAATGCAGTCCCCCACTACCACAAATTATGCAGTCAAATCCCCACATTTTAGGAAATCACAGAGGTCAGCCCTTCTGAAGTGCAATGGATAAGACTTGCCCTGGGAAAAACACCTTCATGATCATGGTGTCTCCACTGAGAGGTAAGTATAATTCCACAAAACTTTTAAAAATGAAATTATACCAGCTTTCTACAGTATCAAGAGGGAATCTGATCAGTCTATGAGGTTTAAAATCCCCTTGTTCCCAAATCAAACAAACACATTAAAAAATTAGAAAATGGCAAATAATTATATCTCATGACAGAGAGGCAAAATTACTGAACAAAATATTAGCAGATTACAATATGTGAAAGTAATTATACATCTTGGGTAAGTGGGATTTATCCCTGGCACCTAAGGCTGATTAGCTACGAAAACCCTTCCTTTTAACTTTTTAATTGAATCACTGTGAGATAGACCCTTACAAAGCTATTCATGACTGTATTTCAGTCAAACAGTATTCCAACACCCAACCCTCTACCAGTGTACATTTCCTACCACCAGTGTCCCCAGGTTCCCTCCCATCACCCCACCCCCACCCCACATCCTGACTGCCTCTATGGCAGACACTTTTCTTCTCTCTGTCTCTTTCTCTTTCTGTACTTCTCTCTGTCTATCTCTGTTCTTCTTTGCCTCTCTCTGTCTCTCTATCTCTCCTTTGGGGCATTGTGATTTGCAATATTGATACTGAAAGGTTATCTAGAATATTCTTTTGCTGACTTTTAACCCTAGGATCTTGTCCAGCGTTATCATTCACAGCTACCATTGTCATAATGGTTTCCTCTATATCTTACATACTCTCAGGCTCCCACACACTTGTGGTTAGTTCCAAACATTGACCAGTCCTCCTAATCCATGTTTTCCCTGGCCATGGATATTAGTCTTCTAATATATATATATATATATATATATTTATAAACCACAAATGAATGCAGTAATTTTGTATCTGTCCCTTTAATTCTGACTCATTTCACTCAGCATGATACTCTCCATGTCCATCCATTTATAGGCAAATTTTATGACTTCAGTTTTTCCTAATAGCTGTAGTTGTGCCTCGCACGACAAAGCCTGTCAAACTACCCGTGATGTATTCAATATGCCAAACACAGTAACAAGTCTCACAATGTTACTGGGCCCACTCGAGCAAATCGCTGAACAATGGGAGGACAGTGACAGTGACAGTGTAGATGTGCCATAGTTCTTTATTCACTCATCTATTCTTCGGCACTCAGATTGTTTCCAAATCCTGACTATGGTGAATGAACATAGGAGTGCAGATTATGTTTCTGTGTGCTTTTGGTCCCCCAGGGTATATTCTGAGAATTGGTATTGCTGGGTCAAATGGGAGGTCAATTTACAGTTTTTTTTTTTAAATCCATATTGTTTCCCAAAAATGCTGGACCACTTGGTATTCCCACCAACAATGAATGAGAGCCCCTTTCTCCCTGCATTCACATCAGCTCTGGTTATTCTTATCCTTTTTAATGTGTTACAGTCTCTGTGTTATGAAATGATATCCATTGTTGTTTTGATTGGTATCTCCCTGTTGATTAGTGATGTAGAATAGTTTTTCATGTGCCTTTTAATTTTCTTTTTTAAATAATGTAGGAGTACTACTATTTGTTCAGCCATTGATTAAGCTAATTGAATTGGGCATGAACTCTACATTACTTTTTTTGAAAATTGTATCAACTTGAGACAGTTACAAAGCTTTCATGTTTTAAATTCAGCTATACAATGATGGAACACATATCCATCCACCAGTACACATTTTCTACCATCCACATCCCAGTACTCACCTTGCCTCTATGGCAGACAATTTCCCCAATACTTTCTCTCCAATTTTGGGCATTATGTTTTGCTCAAAAATTCCCACCACCATTAAAGCCTACCTGCCAGGAGTATATGCTAGATAATTGATTTAATTTATTTTCCTTTGCTCATTTTGAATATCATAAGAGCTCGCATGGCTGCAATTGTAAATGTAAATTTCTAGATTGTAAATGATTGGGTTCTGTAAATGATTGGGTTCCAGAGATATCAGTGTATGGTGCTAACCCATTTTGCGATTCATTTGGGAGTCTCTGGGCCATGTCTATTGGTGCACTAAGATGGTGGCCGGAGGCAAATTGTGGGTGTGACAGCCAGTCTGCTGGGCAGGCAGAGACCCGGGGAGGGAGAGCCCAGTTCCTCTGCTGCCATGCAGCTTGGAGACTCAGTCCTGGAACCCTCTGACCCAGGCCTTGCTTGTGGAAGCTCTTAGTCACTGGGATTCCCTCTGGAGTAGGTGTTATGTGCCTTTTAGTCATTTATATTTCTTCTTTGAGGAAGTTTCTATTCATTTCTCCTCCACATTTTTATGGGGTTAGACATTTTTATCTTGTAAAGTTCTACCAGTGTCTCATATATCTTTGTTATTAATCTTTTACGAGATAAATATTGGGTAAATAATTTTTCCCACTCCGTCGGCTGTCTTGATATCTTGATATCTATTCCATTTTTTTGAAGTTAAGGAGCTTCAACTTGCTTGGTTTAGTGGTGTTTCATCTTTAAAGATGTCTTTAGCTTCAATTCCATGAAAATTACAGTTTATATTTTCCTCCATGTACCTTATGGATTCAGTCTGATATTGAGGTGTTAAATTCATTTTGATCTGACTTTTTTGCATGGCATTAGATAAAGGTCTCAGTTCATTTTTACATGTAGCTATTCAGTTTTCCCAGCACCACTTGCCGAAGATGTCCTTGTTTGACTTGATATTTTTCTCCTTTACAAAAGATTAAGTGATCATATATTTTGGGGTCTGTATAATAATATTCAACTCTATTCCATTGTTATGAAGGTATGTTATTATTCCAAAACCATGCTGTTTTAATTACCACCATTTTGTAGTACAGTTTGAAGTTGTGGGAGGTAATGCCATTCATCTTATTTTTGCCAAGGATTTTTATTTAGTTATTCAGGAAGGTTTATTGTTCCATATGAACTACAGGGATGTTTGATGTATTTCTTTGAAAAATTTCATGTATCCTTATGGGGACTGCATTGAATCTGTCTAATGCTTTGGAGAGTATTACCATTTTGACAATGTTAATACTCCCGATACATGAGCAGGTAATGTGTCTCCATTTCCTCGTGTCCACTTTTATTTCGTTTTTTTTATTAGTGAAACACCATGAGGTACAGTTGTTGACCTTACAAGTTTTGGTGCTTGGGTTTCAGTTATACAATGATCGATACCTGTCCCACCAACAGTGCTCATTCTCCACCCCCAAAGATCCCAGTAACCCCTCCCATTCCCCCACATCCCATCCCGCATCTGTGGCAGGGCATTCACTTTTGTTCTCTCTCTCCTTTTGGTTGCTCAGGTTTGCAAAAGCAGCATTGAGTGGCAATCATGTTCGGTCTATAGTCTACTTTCAGAATGCATTTCCCATCCTGGAAGGATTCTCCCAACACCGTTGATTTGGTGCTCTCTTCTCTGTTTGAACTGCCCTTTCCCCTAGCATGTGCGGCAGGCCTCCTGTAACTTATCTCGACTATTCTTGGATGTTAGTCTCCTGTTTTGTTACTTTATATTCCACAGATGAATGCAATCTTTCTATGTCTATCCCTCTCTTTCTGACTTATTTCATTTAGCATGCTACTTTCCATGTAGAACCAGTTGTATGTAAATTTCATTACTTCTTTTCTAACAGCTGCATAATACTCAATTGTGTAGTTGTACCAAAGTTTCTTTAACCAGTCATCTGTAATTGGGCACTCGGGTTTTTTTTCCAGATTTTGGCTATTGTGAATAGTGCAGCAATGAACATAGAAGTGCAGATTTCATTTCGACTGTACGTTTTTGCCTCTCTGGGATATATTCCCAGGAGTCGTATTGCTGGATCAAATGGGAGGTCAATTTCCAATTTTTGGAGAATCGTCCATACTGTTTTCCAAAAGAGCTGGACCAGTCGGCATTCCCAACAGCAGTAAAGGAGAGTTCCTTTCTCGCCACATCCGTGCCAACACCAGTTGCCCCTGTTCCTTTGGATGTGGGCCAGTCTCTGTAGTGTGAGGTGATATCTCATTGCTGTTTTGATCTGCATCTCCCTGATGATTAGTGATGTAGAGCATTTTCTCATGTGCCTTTTAGCCATGGGATTTCTCCTTTGGGAAAGTTTCTGTTCATTTCATCACCCCATTTTTTGATGGGGTTGGATGTTTTCTTCTTGTGGAGTTCAACCAGTGCTTTGTATATCCTTGATATCAACCCCTTATAAGATGGGTATTGTGTGAATATTCTTTCCCATTCTGTAGATTGTCTTTGTATTCTGGACACTATATCTTTTAAGGTGCAGAGCTTCTTAATTTAAGATAGTCGCATTTGTTTATGTCTGTTTCCACTTGGTTGGTCAGTGAAGTGTCATCTTTGAAGATACTGTTAGCCTCAATATCGTGGAGGGTTTTGTCGACCTTGTCTTTGATGTATCTTATGGATTTTGGCCTGATGTTGAGATCCTTAATTCATTTTGATCTGACTTTTCTGCATATTTTTTTAGGTCGAGGTCTAAGTCCATTTTTTTTGCATGTGGTTGTCCACTTATGCCAGCACCATTTGTTGAAGAGGCTTTTATTTTTTTTTTGCTCCATTTCACATTTCTTGCTCCTTTATCAAAGATTAGATTTTCATACATTTGGGGTTGTGTGTATGGATATTCCACTCTGTTCCATTGGTCTACGGACCTGCCTTTGTTCCAGCACCATACTGTTTTAATTATCACCGCTTTGTAGTAGAGTTTGAGGCTAGGGACAGTAATGCCTCCCCACATCTTTTTCCTAAGAATTGCTTTAACTTTTCGTGGGTGTTTGTTGTTTCATATAAATTTAGGAGACCTAGATCTGTTTCTTTGAAGAATTTTATGGGTATCCTTATAGGGATCATATTGAATCAGCATAATGCTTTGGGGAATATTGCCATTTTGACAATGTTAATTCTTCCTATCCATGAGCAGGAGATATGTTACCATTTCCTTATGTCCTCTTTTATTTCATGGAGTAGTATTTTGTAGTTTTCATTATAGAGGTCCTCTACCTCTTTAGTTAGACTGATTCCAAAATATTTGAT